CCTGAACGAAACGAAAGTAGTTTCCTTTCTGACGATGAATTTTTATCGAAAAAAAAAAAAAAAAAGAAAGAAAGGATGACGATGATCTACGATTTAATCGTAACGGACGGAATATTCGATCGAACATAACGATGATCAATTTTGTGAACGGTTAATCGAAGTATCGGCTCGCAATTTCGAATACGAATTCTTCAAGTTACGAATTATTCTCTTTCGATGGAAAAATCGTTTCTTGTTTCTTCGAGATAAAGGCGACGAAATCCATAAAAGGCCTAGTTGCAAAACTTTTACTTGTAAATCGTCTTACAACCAGTCTTCCCTAAAAGGATCTGTTCGCAGGGTAATTTCTAGGTAAAAGCGCGTGAAAATGCTTCCTTCGATTTTCACTGCTTTCACGCGTTTACAGCTTGTCCTTGAACAACGACAAGTTTTCTTAACAGCTTTTACACACCTTCCCGGATTAGCACGAGATTAACCCCATTTTTTCCCACCCTCACCTACTTTTTTTTTTTCTCCCTTTCTTTTTCCTTTCTCCTTTCTTCTCATACTCCCCGATGCATCTGCCCCTGATTGAAAGCCTTACACCCATGGCTCCGATTCCCTTCTCCCTAACCATCTCTCGAATTCGATGGAAATACTCGATAAAAAAATACGCGATAAAAAGAGAGAAAGAAAGAAAGAAGGAAGGAAGGAAGGAAGGAAAAATGAACGTAAGAAAACGTAAATATATTTCTCGACATATTTCTTCGCATATTTTCTTTTGTAAAATCCACCATCGAAAACGAAGATCGAAACGAAAAGAAAAGAAAAGAAAAGCTCTTCTTCTGAACAATGCTTGGTCTCATCGGTGCATCGACAGCAACGGGAGTCGCAATTAATTAATAGTAGACAGAGACAGAGAGAGAGAGAGAGGGAGGAAGGGAGGGAGAGCCGGTCTGTGAAAATACAACGATGGGAAGGCATTTCGCGTAACGAGCCACGCTAGGAGGACTAATTTTTTAAAACGCGCCAGCACACGCATTGGGCGTCCGTTTCCTCGCCAGTGACCAGCAAAAGGCAGCAGCCTTTTTTAATAAAGCCTAGTGCCTGGCCCGGACAAAGACAATGACTTGCATGCATGGCATCAGGCGACGCTACGGTTAGACGAATATGAAAAAGAGAGAGAGAGAGAAAGAGAGAGAGAGGAGAAAAGGAAAAAAAGAAAAAAAAAAAAAAAAGTAGCGTGAAAAGATGCACGGCCAATGCCGACGGGGAACGTCGTTTGATCTACTCTTCGACGCCTCGTTCCGCCTCCAATAAGTATCGCCGTTTTTTTCTATATATAGATATATTCCCCACGAAGAAGTTCTCCGCAGCGAAGTTTGATTAACTCGGAATCGCGCGTTGAATTGCACAAAGCGGAGGCGAAGAGTAAAAGAGTAGATTACGTCTGTCGCCGGCCACTTTGAATTTAAACGTTACTTTGAGCGACAGTCCAGTTTACCTCTGTTTTTTTCAGACATCTCTGTTTTCAACCGGCCGCGAGAACTTGGTTACACCCCCCCCCCCCTCCCCGTGCGTTTTAATTCCCCTTGGCCGAGGAGCAACCGGTGTTGCCTCGTTAAAAAGCCTTCCTTTTTAAAGCGAAAACCGCCCCTGATTACCGCGCTGATAAACAAAATCTCGGCGAAACGAATCTTTCTTCGCGTTCGCCGACTCGAATGGATGGATATATATATATATATAGATTTCACATTGGGTAACTGGGTAAAATTTTCC